TGATTGTAAAGAACTGCCACTTTACTCGTCTAGTCCAGTCATCCTGTGGGATGAGTATTCACTGCATTTTTAAGGGTTGTGCCTTTTATATTATACTCAGGAAGTTGTAGTTAGACTATTTAAAGCAGAAATTGATGTCTAGTGGGAGACTGGGTATGAGACCATGTTTTATGCGGCACAAACCAAAGGCTCATAAGAATTTCTTTTTTACATGCATTACTTCTGTGCTAACGCATTAACAAACTGTGGTGAAATATTCATCATTTATAAATAAACATTACAAATAGTCCCACAGAATACATAAGGGAAGACTGAAACTACAGCCAGAAGTAGGGTTTTGCATCCCACTAGCCCAGTGCAGATACAGTCTTCAAGAGGGATCTTGTTGGAGCTGCAGCCCTGAAAGCCCAGGTCAGGGTGCATGAGTCAACACCTATAAACTGCCTGGCAAATGCCAGAGCATGCTCACCTGATCCCTGTAATTTTACCAAGCCAGAGGGAGAAAAATCTGGATACAACTTCAGTCTTGGGATGAAACATGGTAGCTCATACCAACTCCATGACTGTTATTTTCTGGGACATGCTAACTTCAGTGAAGTTGCTTGAGCACATTGTGGAAAATCAGGTCTGCTGCTCCCATGAGAGTTGGAATAGGTGACTAACATTCAATAGCTTATACCTCTTGAGGGAACAAATTATGGAATATGGGATATGAGAGATTTATTTGGAAACCACATGGAAATATTTATGTGTTACATTGTGGGTCTGGGACTAATGTAACAAAACATGATACTCCATATTTGTTGGCTGTATGCTGTTGAATTGGAGGGTTTACCTTTCTATGGATTCATTCAAAAGTGTTCAGAGGTTTTTTTCCAGGACTAGAGTGTGTTAGGGTCCAAATATTTACAAGAGAAATGGATTTACACACAGCTCACTTGAAAAGGCTGGTTTTCATGAAAAGAGCAAACAACAGCAAAGACTTGGCCTGAAGTACAGAATATGAAATGGCTTAATCATTTCAGTCATTGTTGTCATGTTCTACTAAAGTAATTTTTTCCAGGAACCACTTATAACTGGTAATTCTGGTAAACAGTTGTCTTAAGTCCATGTAGTCTCTTTCCTTGGAAGCACTAGACAGGTGTGATTTGATGCCAGATTAGACCTGAATATCTGATCTCACTCTGACTGGTCAGCTTCAGGAGTAATTAAGCACTGCTGGAAGAACCCAAGGAAGAATCCAGTCTATGGTCTCAGCCAGAGCCTCTGGAAGTACACCGTGAAAAGCTAGCCCCCTTTCCCATGAGTTGGCATCACACACCTCTCTACTGCTTTATCTACTTGGGTTTCTATATACCATACCACACAAGTTCCTGCGTGAAACCTCACAGTAGCTTTGCCTGTAGGTAAAAGCAATGTCAGTTTTCCTTGTAGAGATTGCAGCTGAGTTCGCTGCAGAAATTTAATAAAGGATGATGATCTGTGAGGCTGCTTCTGTTCTTTGAGCCCCTGTAAAAAATGATTAATTGTTCCCCCCAGAAATATTTTTAAAAAATGTTTTCTCACCTTTATTTTTCCACCTGTCTCTTCTGAAACTACATCTGAACTTAAAATTTGTCACAAAATATAGGTGGTGGAAATGCCTTACCTGTTGCCACACAGCTGCAGTTTTAGGAAGAGAAAATTGGAAAAGAACTTAGATTGTAAAGTAAAATGTACAGACCTATATCATAAACTGTATCAGACATTCTGTCTCTAGATTTTTCCTTTATCTTTAATATTACAGAAATTAATATAATCAGATAATATTCTCAAGTACCTTTAATGAGCACAGGAGACAGACAGAAGAGTCAAAGTTGCTAAAATTTTAGCTGTATGGAGCCCCAAGGCCACAGGGGCCTAATTTTCCCTGGAATATAAGGAAAAGTTAGTGTGATATTTCCTGAGGGTAGTGTACATGTTGATACATGTTAAGGAGCCCTTTGGTAATGGTGTTATGAGTCTTCTAGGATGACAGATTAGAAAGGTGTTAATTGTTGTTGATGGTCCTAGGCCGATGAGGACTACATGATCAGCATCCCCAGTGAACCTGTACCTTGCACTTCAGCTATAAAGTACCTGTCTTCTGCTGAGAATTCAGAATAAAGAGGAGAATGCTAAAAATAGCAAAAACCTGTCAGAGATGGAAGAGTGGATCAAGTAAAAGGGGCAATGAGTCTTGTGAATGGAACCTGTTTTCCTCAAACAGGTTACTTTGCCACATCTGTGGCGAGCAGCTGATATTCAGGTCTGAGTTTTTCCTGTCAGGGGACTCCATGGAGCAAGTGTAGGTCCTGCTGCTCTAGAAAAAACATAAAAGCAACTCCAAAATCCTAAAAAACATGGAGCTGGTTGTGACCTGGAACAGTGACTCACACGAGAGGAAGGTACCAATGCTTAGGCAGCGTGTTGGGCACATCAGCTGGTGAAGGAATTTGTTGACATTGCACACCAGCTGCTGCAGATACTTGGCCTTTTAAAATTTGATGGAGGTGCTGTAACACTTAATGTATGCTGCATCTCCACAATCGCTGGGATCTTTTTTTCCTGCAAATAGCAGCACTTGCCCTAAAAGTGGATAAAAGATTCTGTTTTATGAAAATATTTCTGACACATAGCAATCTGGGGACAACTCCAAGAGTGCTATGCTTAGGGAATGAGACTCCTGAGGAGGCTACTATAGCTAATAAAACTGTCTAGGGAAGTATTCAAAACGTGTGTCCTAAAATAAACATCTCCTGCTTACACACAAACTTTTCTATTGCTGCAGTTCTTTCACAGGAACACTGTCTTCTAGGTTTAATCCCTTAAGACTTTAAAATATTTTATTGGTGTTAGGGTGGGGGTTTTTGTTTGTTGTTTGTTTGTTTTTCCTTTTTCTTTCCTGTTTTCCACAGCTTTCCAAGAGCATTGTTTTGGTCTTACCTTGCATTTCATAACAGAAGCCAGGTGATGTATGTTAATTGTTAACTGGTCATAAATGAACAGGACCTATTAATTGTCTGGGCCTTACAGAGGCTTCCTACTACTAGAAGGAGCAAGCTGGCTTGTTACAAGGTTGTTTCCACCTTTATCATGTGTTTGGCTGATTATGACTACATGCTGTAAATGTGGTAGGCATACATGCTTATTTCCCCTATGAGTCATGGAAGAACACACCTGCACACTGAATGTGCAGCTATTGGCAATTTCTATGCAAGTGTTCTGTTTTCTTCATTAGGACAAGATATAAGTTATACTAGACTGCATTACACAGGCATTTATCTATGTACAGATGTCTGTCTCTAAGTATTCAATTTTTTTTCAAACTCTTTTGGTAGGTCCCTATTTTGTATAGGACACACTTTAATCCTAAGCCAAAGCATACAATCCTTCAAATGTTACTTAAAAGAATCAATGATCCTTGTTTCTCTAGTGATGCTGACTTTACAATTCTTCATTAAATAGATTAATGCATTTCCATCACAATGTTATTCTTACTTTACTGCAAAATTAATTGTGAGTCTATCTTTTCTGCAAATTGAATAAACTGATAAAGGAAAATCAAACTTAGCCTTTATGTTTCTTTCATATTTAAAGGGAAGTACCTTGTATAATTTCTGTTAAGCTCTGCAATAAATATTAAATATTCAAATGCTTCTACTGTAAGTGGAGCTCTAGGAAGTCTCTCTCTTTTAGGGAAATCAAGTTTCTCTAAGCCATAGAAGGCTCTAAGACTATTACTGAGTGACTACAAAATCCAGTTATTTCAACTGAATTGCAGCTCTCAGGGTTTGACTTCAACTGTGACTGCATGCTACAAATCATATGGTATGCAAAACGCAAGCAAAAAAAAGAATCAGTAACAGTGAGATGGAAAAAACCTTAGAGAAGTAAATTTCTATGAACAAATTGCTGTTAATAGTGCTATCCAAATTAAGTTTCTGAGTGCTGCCCTTTACAGCTATGAAAAAAAATAAAGAAAAAAAACCAACCAAACAACTAACATTCCCAGAAAAATGTCAGTATAAACTCCCCTTATTAACATGGCTGTCACTAACATTTCCTCCCTGGGTCTCTTTGGCTCTAACCCACTAGAGAATGGTTCCCACTGTAATCATCAGCAGCGAGGAATTAAGCCGCAGTGAATCAGGTGAGCTTCAACAGTGTTCTAGCATTTCTGAATGTAAAAGGTCACCGAAATTGCTAATGCTTAATCCAGCCACATCAGTAAGGAAAGAAAAATGTTTTGAAGGAAAGCACTAAAGTATTCAAAAAAACCCCTGACAAGAATAGTAATATTCATAAAACGAAAATATCTGTTAACTCATTATATAATTCTGTGGCTGAAAATCTTTGATAGAATATGTCCTTTTTTACTAAATGTAGTCTGCGTTTGATTCTGTTATTCATTTGAATTAGTCTTAGCAAGTCTTGGGGTTTTTTTTCCTTGCTTTTAAAATTGATAAAAGAAGATTTATTTGTGAAAAGAAGATGTTGGGATTAATTGTTCCATTTAATTAATCAAATGTTTAAGGTTTGGTATAACCTAATCTGCAAAGAAAATTTTTTTATCTCTTCAGTTTCCTGATGTAAAATACCTCTTGCACTTCTGTTAACAGTAGTCAGATAATGGAGGGTAGTTTCTTATCTATGACATTTATAAAATACTAATTCTGCCCTCTTATTTTATATAAAATTTCATTTACATTTACTTAGTACAGAGTTTATATTCATTTACAATAATAAGTAGAAATAAATAAAACAGGTAAGGAACTTGTTATTCTATCATTTATTCTATAAATTATGTAGAAATGGATCAAACAAGTGAAATGAAAATATTTACTGTTGAACATACTTTTAATTTTTTTGTTTAACTTATAAACAACACACTCAAAGAAAAGTAGAAAGGGGAAAGAGAATTGGAAAGGTAATTGGAAGACAAAGTGATTTCTTAGGTCAAATTTTTGTTGTATATATAAAATGTAAATTGAGAAATGCAGGGTCTTATAATGGCTTGAATTACAGGAGTCTCTCCCTCTTTTTGCTGAGCCCTGTGTGTTTAAGGGACTTGCTGGCTTTTTGTGTTGTCTAGAAGTTGTTAAATGAGTGAAAAAAACTGTAAAAACCTTCCGCCAAACCATCTTCCTTATTTGCAAGGATCAAGGAAGGATTTTGTTTGTTTATTTTTTTGAGAGATGGATTGAAAGAATTTGAAAGACAGTCAGAAGGGTTTGGAGTACTGAGGAGAACCTTGATAGCTGATAGTTCAAGAAAATGCTTCATCAAACAGGGCTGGCAGGCATCTCTTCACTCCTTTGAACCTTCAGTGTTGATAAGGAGGTTTTAAAAATTGTTATTTGTAGGAAAATTTGATTTTCATTTATCTGATTTTTAAGTAGGGGATTTTCAGTATGGGGCACATAATAGTAAATGACTGTGTCTTCATTTGAACAAGGGACTAACATCAAATTCATTAGGATCTGCCTCTCAGCAATTTTGTTCACAAATCCAATGGAAAAAAAAAATCTCTGGAGTCACTTAGAAAACTGTCAGTAGTAGATTGTATGTGTATGTGTGAAACCAGCAGATTATTCATAGGAACTTTGTAATTAATGATCAAATATTTTTAAAGATCTTGTTAGTAGCAATCCAAGTAGAAATGGAGAAAAGGATGGTGTGTCCATATTTCACCAGCAAGGTAGATTGTGACTTTACAGAGCATTAAGATGTTTCAAGTTTTAAGTTTTTTCTTGGATGGAGAAAATGACTGAGTCCTGGAATACTTCACCGAAGGCTGCTTTTGTCAAACAGAGAAGAAACAAGAGAAGGCTGACCTCTCTCTTTGCTTACAGAAAGTTTTATATTTTCTAGGATTACATATTTAGAACACTTTATACAACAGGCCAGGCACCAACATTATGAAGTCACCAAGTGTACATGTATAGTGCCTCCAGACAACAGCAAGAGGTGGACTAAAGTTTTTTTGGAGACCAATTCAGTAACTGAAAACTGACCTTTCCTCTCTCACTCCCTTTCCCTCCTAGGCAATGGCAGAGGGTCTGACGGTTGGAGGCAGAAACCCCCAAACAAATGCTGTTATCTGATAGAAATAACCAGAAAAGATACAATTTTGTCTGGTAATTTACAAACCTAACATACTTCAGTCATTTAGTCACTTGCTTCTTCCATCACGCTCTTATCTCTGTTTTATTATGCTTTATCTTTTTCACAAGTCATTCTGGGTCTAAGTCTGTAACATATTTCCCTGGGTTTAATAAGATAATTCTTTTTCTGCAAATACCTGCATAGGGCATCTTGTGACAATACTTATAAAAAAATTTTTTTTTCCTTAGAAGACCATGCTAAATAGACCCATAAAATTTAAGCTGAAGCCTTCTCATCTACTTGCTGAACATATGTATTTAATCTACAAGACGAGCAGAACCTGGGATGTGAATAGCAAAGCAGAATTTGACCTTCATTTTTTGGTGAGTATGGCCTAGAGGAGAATTTTTTATCTCTGCACTAAAAGCATATAAAAATGTAAACTGGAATTGATGCTATTGATTTGGCTCTGGTATTTGTTTCTTTGCACACCTGCTACAGTATCCATGACTTTTGGGATTGTCAGAGCAGATGCATGTTTTTTACTTAAAGAGGTGAGTGTGGGAGAACTGCAGTGAGCTGTGGTTATTTCCATTATGCTTAGAGGCCTTTGCTATCACTGAGGTTAAACTGAGAGATCCAAGTTAAAGCACTTATCTGTTAAACTTTGCATGACACAAAAAGTATCACTCAACCTGTGAGAAAACCAAAAATTGATTCTAAGAGGGAAAGAAATCCAAAGTTCGAAGCGAATAACCAATGCTAGGACAAGCAGAAAAGTAGATATGCAGCTGGTGGCAGTACAGGTAAGAAAGGGCCTTGAACAGATCTGAGTAAAACAATTTTGAGGAAATAACAGTACCTTTCACCGATAACAATGCAGAAACAAAAGTCTTTGAGGATGGACTGCTTCTGAGATAATGATTGAAGGGAAGGCCTGCCTCAAAGCCGTGAAAGTCCTTTTGTTTTTCAAGCAGTGTGTGATCTTTCAAACCAATGCTCTGATGAGTTGGGAAGGACTGACTGCTGAGATTGACTTTACTGGCCCTTGGTGAACTCCCACTCCGAGGTTCAGCCGTGAATCTTCCTTCACTATCTCAAGGGCATACCTAATTTACACAATCTATCTCCTCCTGTACAACTTCCACTGGAGTCAATCGGAGCTGTGTGCCTGAAGTCAAGGGCAGAATTTGGCTCAGAGAGAGTATAACAGCTTCAGTGCTTTGCCAAATGAAATACATTTAGAGTCTGACATGCACAGTTGGATGCAGTAAGTAAAAAATCAGTTTTACTGGATACAACGCTTCACTGACTAGTGCTACTTCCCTCTTATCATTGTTAAAAGATGTGCTTTATAAGAAAAACGGTGCTAGATCAAACCAGAGACTTATCTTACTCTTCATGGAGTGATACTTTACGTAGCTCCTTAGTTTCCAGTGCTTCATAGCTAAAGACTTTCTGTGTGAGAGGCTGCATTTTTTATTTAGCTCTGCATCAATTATAATAAAAGTTGTGCCAAGCTTAATTGATTTCTTTGTCACCGTTCCTTGAAACACAATTCTTTTAACTCATTCCAAATAATTTTCTCAAATTCAGCAACAGTAGCAACACCGTTGACTGATAAGATCTATACCTCATTTAAAACAGACATTCAGCTTATCTAGTCACTGCTGAACAACAAGTATTTTACTAAGTCCCAGTATCTTAGCTCACCAGTGTCAGGAACATGGCTTCAAACGTGGCTTTTTCTTGTGAGGCTCCTCTCATAAAAAGCTGTTCTGAACTCTTAAATGACTGCCTTGTGCAAGTAGCCTTTTAGTCTTTTCTGTCTTACATATATTACATATAGGTAATTCCTATGGGATCATCTCTTCTTGTAGTTACAAATTTTAATTGAACAAAATTGTACATATGGACCAGAACTCAGCTATTCACAGACTTTTACATTCTACAGGAGTCTTCCATGGGAACCATTAGTTGCGGCTGTTTGTTCCTCCCTAAAAACACAGTGGCTTACTGCTATTTCCCTAAACAAGTATCTGTAGAAAGTACAGTGCTTTTCAATGTTAACTACATATCCCTAAAGTGATCTGATTTGTTTCTGGGTTGGATTTTTTTGAAGGTTTTGCTGTGTTTTGGTTTTCTCTGTGAGACTTCTGCTTCTTTTCCTTAGTGGTTTTTATCTTTGCTTGAAAATTTATAGTTCTGTCCTCTAGTGAGAAAATCCAAATGAGCAAATCCCTTCACTAGAAATTATTTTAACTGAAATCACCAATTCATTCAGCCTCCTTAAAACAGCCAGTCTGCACACCAGTAAGCAATCTGGTCTCTCTGACCCAGTAAAGTTCAAGACTTGATTGTTTCCTTTAAAGCAACAAGGTAAAAAACCTTGTTTTTTAATTATGTGGTAGTTTACAATAGTGCTGTGCAGTGCAACATACAAGGCCAGATTATTTTTCTTTAAAATTATGTCAGGACTTTGTGCAATGTTACCAGGAAGCACTTCTTTTCTAGCTAGATGTTTCAAGGATGGAACTGTCAAAAATTTCAGAGATGCAAAAGAGATAGATATAAAAAATGAAGGTGAAAATGTTTTGGTTAAAACAATGGAAGATATTTGGGATTCTTTTCCCCCTCAACATGTGGATTTTAATAACTGCTGTTTGTTGTTAATTACAGAACATACTGCACCTTCTAAAAAACACATCAGAGGAGAATCAAGTTAATTTGTTATATTCCCCTTTGGGTATGGTTCCCATATACAAAACATTTAGACTAAATCCTGTGACTACTTTTTTTTCATTGATATCTTAGGGAGGCAGGCTGGTGGGAGTGGAGACCAAATCGTGCTCATAAACTAAAATGCCACAGTGTACATGTCTGTGAAGTTAGGTGCCTTGAATAGAACAAAGATGCGTAACTCATATGCATTTCTTTGAACAATTAAATCTTAGTATTTGATGCTGAAAGTCTGCTTTTATGTCAGAAAGTTTGCGGAGCCTGGAGGAAGGAGAGAAGCACCCGTAAGATTAGAACGTTATGTAAGGTAGTGTCTATCACCCAGGAGGATCTTAAAATATTGTATGCAGCATCTGAAATATTTCCATATAAGATTACATTATATGATGAACAACTATTAGTTAGATGGACCACAGCTGGTACTTTACAACCTGTACATGTAATAAAGGGAAAGCTACCTATATGGAACAGAAATCAAAAGCCTGTGTTTGAATAACTAAATAGCACAAAGTTATTGCAATCCAAGAATATTTTAATTAATTGAAATGAATCAAAAAACCTTAAGTAAAATATAATTAATTTTATATAAGTTTAAAGGGTTCTTAATAGGATAAATCTCTTGTGTGAAATATTTAGGTAATGACTATCATAAACGAGACTGCTTTAAAGTGTAATAATGTGTTCTGAAAGAGTACTTTTCTGTGTCATTTAGGAGGAAGATGGCATTGTACTTGATGGTGTATTCATTGTGCCTGACTCAGTTAGCTGTATCTGACTTTGTATGCCAATACTTCCACAGTACCTTCCTGCAACGTCACTGTGGTTGTCCTTAAAATATTTTATAGAGTTTGTTATCTCACTGTTCTTTTTTCTTTTTTTTTTCATTTCTTAACATGCTGAATACATCAGAAACAGGCTGATCTGATGAAAAAAATCTGAGATAAAATCTGATATAGACATCTAAGAGCCTTTTACTTTTGTAAATTTTACGTGTAGCCACCCACAGAATTTTTTTTTTTTGGTGTGGTTTTTTTTGTTTGTTTGTTTGGTTGGTTTCTTTTATTATTTTATTTTATTATTTTTTTAAATTTATTTATTCTTATTTCTATCTTATGACATATTTCCAAAGTTATGACTGTCTGGAATACCAGAATTCCCATTAGTGAGTAAATTTAGGGAGTATCTGCTAAGATTTGATATGTTCATTTTCCAGAGTTATTACTGAACATGTGTGATGTGAAAACATTGAGATCCTCTGCCATTCATTATGGGTACGTACCGTCATTTAAAATGACTTGTTAAAAATACCATAAAGTTCATTATGTTCAATAGTTAGCTAACTATATATGGCTAACTATTCTCATTAATTTTGAAAATGCATGTAATTTATATTGGTATTGAATACACCCTAATGCATGGAAAGGTCTGATTGCACAGTGAAGGAGCAGATTGTCTTTACCTTAAAGGCACTTGCCACCTGAAAATACAAAAGATATGTAAGGTGAGGGCGTATACCAGAAATGAAGGGCTCACCACACAGGAGGAGAGTGGAGATGAGAGAGGTTGAGTCACAGGGGAGGAATGAGCAACAGCCTGTCAGGAAACACCCTGCGAGTTCCAAACATTTTTATTTTGTTTGATAAGGGTTTGGGTAGGTGGAGATCAGTTAAACGGGACAAAGAGAAGGCAGGGAAAGGGAGACAAGGGTATTTCAGGATGTGAAGAAGAGAGGAGGGAGCAGGCATGCGATGAAGACGAGGATAGAGAAAGGGAGAAATGTGGGGGCGAGATGAGTTGCAACAATCAGCAGTGAGAATGGATAATTAAAAATCATGGCTGTCTGTCAGACGTTAAACCTCTTTTACCTTTGCTATGTCAGCTTCATTGACAGACTGGATCCTCCCTGTAGTCTCTTTCTTATTCCAGCCTTCTCCTGTCATTGTTTAACACAGTTGTGCATGAACAGTGCATGCAGACTGAAGCCGTAAAACTATACAGTGCACTTAATTGAAAGATTGAAAAATTACTTTACAGCGACAGACTACATGATGGTTGACACTTAGGGACTGATCTTAGACAACTGTACTCAGTGAGTGTAATTTAATGTTGTAACTTTCACGTATGAAACCAATGATTTTTCCTTTGGCAGAGGGAAATTGTTCTTACACCACATTAACTTTTAGGGCTGGAAAGGGAACTTCTGCCTTTACCCATCCCTCTTAAAGATTGAGATACCTAATAAGATTTCTTACTTATGCTTGAGATTAAAAGGCTGAATGTCAAAAATGGTCTCTGTGTGTGTATATTTCCTTAAGTCAAATGATATATTAAATTTCCTTAATATTGAAATGTTTTGCTTGCGTGCTGAGAATTTTTATTTTTGATTTCAGAAATGATAGTATATAATGGTAAATAAATATTCTGTTGAGAAATCCTAGATCAGCTCCAAGTCTCATCACTGCCACCCTTCCTTTCTCAGGGAAACAAAACACAACTAAGGTCCAATTTTATCTTTCCTCCTTGGTCACCATAACTTCTTTGAATAGAGAAGCTTATTTTTACTGAAAAGCTATGTTAAACCAGAAGAGTTTGAAATGGAGGGGCTCTGTGTTTCCTAATTTCTTCAATAAAATATTATGAAAACAGCAAAGTAGATCCAAACAGCATCTAAATTGTTTGAATAGTGACACATATCATGGCTGAGCTGTATAGGCTGCATGCCTGGTTATTTAAGTTCAGCTACTGGCTGCCAGAATTACACTCATGGGACTCCAGCATCTTCAATCCATAATCTCATTTTCCAGTCAAAATTCAGAAAAAAATCCACCCTAAAAATACAGGAAACCCAAACAAACCATTCTCCGTATGAAGCCAAGTTTTTTTGCAATTCAATAAATTCAGGCCTTCTATCCATAAGCTCAGCACTTGCACTGTCAGCACTTACTCTTTTAGGGGGAATTAGGAAAACAAAACATCAATGGAAAATCAAGCTGATTTCAATATTGTTCAACAAAGCAGGAATCAGCTGACACTGTAGGAACTTCTTATCCCATTTTCTCTGAACAGCAGGGTAGGAGCACTTCTAGTATTAAGATATTTCATTTCTTCTAAAAATTACACTGAAGACTGCAGTTTGATGTAATTTATAAATATTTGAATTTCATAATTGTTTCCATAGAATAGGGAGACAGAACCCACTGACAGACAGAATTCCTTACATATTGAATATTCTTACTACTGAAGTCTCACTTTCAGCATGTAGTGTCAAACTTGCATCTCTTGATCACATATGCTGCATCTCTCACAATGGAATAATTTTTATAATTTATTTTTCAAACAGCTTCTCTCATGGAAGTGCAGCTAATGGCACATTATTTGCAGCCTCTGTTCGGTAACACTTCGTTCAAACTAACACCTCTACCCAGAGCTCATTAAAGCAGCACTTACATACCTTCAACACAAAGGGAATAGTTGTAGGATGAGCACTGGGTGTCTGATCTTCTTTTACACAGATTATCTTTTTTTTTTTGCCTCTGCTCTAGGTACTGCATGAGTGAACTTATTCCTGAAACACTGTAGCAAGAAATCTCTTCTTCTCTCTTATTAAACTGTCAAAAAACATATCTGAGAACCAGATATTTCACTGCAGTGTATTAGGAAATTTAGGAGATCATATAGAAATTCTCACAATAAAAAAGTTCGAATGTTCATCTTCTACCAACTTACAAATTACAGTTTCTTGTAGGCATTACTTTTTCAGCTTTGTAGAAGTAAAACCTTTTCATTAATTAAAAACATGAGTGTTAAAAATGAATACATTTACTGTAAAAATATAATTCTGTATCTGATGTAATGAGATGTGATCATATAGTCAAAAACCCTCCTATCTTTTTTAACACAAAAGTGCTACCTTCGAAGATGTAACTTCGAACATCTCTGATTTGCTTTTACTTTCCTTTTCCATTCATAGCTTTACCACTGAGTCTCAGATAGTGAAGCAGAATCTCATTTATGTGAAATGAACAGGCATCTCATTTGAGGAGTCAGGCAACACTTACCAGACACATTGAGTGAGTCTTTTGGAAAGTCTAGTTGGTGATATCAGGCTTGGATCTCAAATAGTTAGATGCTTACTTTGATTAAGGACTTACTCTACTGCCATTAAATAAATAAATTAATACAGATGTTGATGACATAAATACCTAAATAAATTGAAGTCTTCTCTTTATTTTTTATGGATCTGCATTTTACATGCAGATCTGTGAACTAAGAGTCCTGGTGGGATGAGGCTGGCACAAGGAGGCAGCTATAGAAGGAGATACACCTCCTTTTCAGGTGCAAACAATTAAGTAACTCTGTATTCTCCTGACTGATTATTCTGGCTTCCCTCCTGAGTTAAATAAGCTCCAAGGGAAACAAGCAGGAAACCTAAATGTCCCATCCTCATGTATTTCTCAGTGAAGTGAATTTCTCAGTGAAGTGAATACTTAGATCCATAGGCTTGCCTGACTGCTATGATAGGACTCCTTTCTAACTGAACCAGCAGAAAAACCTAGTCCAGTCTCTAGCTGGGCCTGCATTTGTGAGAGAAATCAACCTCCATCCTGGTGATAGAAAGCATCATGAAAGAGAACAGTGAACAATGCTAAGTCGTTCACAGTCCTACATTTCTGATACACATTATTATTTATGATTTATGTTTGTTAGTGCAGTAGTACCTTGGAGCTCCATCTAAGAATTACCAACAGCTCAAAAATCGCTGTATGGGTTGTCACAGACAGCCATAAGAAAATACAGCTCATACCCTAAGTACCTTCCATTTAAAAAGGATGACAAATACTGAGCAGACAACTGGGACCTGAAGCCAAGAGAGTTATGTGATGCTACACATCACAAATCTGTGGCAGAGTCGTGAATAGACCACTGTTACAGCATGTTGACTTGTATTTAATAATATAATTAATTTTTTTACTGTTTGTGTTAGAGATACAAAGTTATGGCAACAAAAGCACAAAAGCAACTGTTGCAATACCTATTACTTGGATGGTCATGTGTCTCCTAGAATCTACAGTTGTAATTTGGGTTAGATCTAAAACTAGTGGTAGATACTGCACAGATGAGCATTGTAGTGGACACCTTTTTGGCACCTGAAAGGAAATCAGTGAATACCTTTTTGGCACCTAAAAGAACATCAGGTGCCGTTTGGAACCATGAGGTGAATACTTAATCATCACTTAAAAAAATTAGGAGCAAAGAGTAGAGAGTTAATGTCCATTTTCTCCTTGGGAGGATGTATCAAGTGGAAACCCTTAGGGGTCTCTCCTAGATCATGGATCTTTCAACATAGCCATAATTATGTGGACAGAGAGCAACTAACAGAAAAATGGAGCTTGCTAAGAGTCATAAATTATTAAACACAACAAGAAAAAGTAATTTCCTCTCCGTTAGAAGTATCTCTCTGAACTGACTGAACGGGCAATTGAGTAGCAAGTTAAAACCAATATAATAAAGCTGAAAATGGGATAGGGAAGGATGACAGCAATGATTAAAGGTGTGAAATGACTTCAAAACAACAGGTAACTCAATAGACTAGGACTGTTCAGTTTGAGAAAGAAATTGTTTTAGTGGAATATGAATGATTTCTGGAAAAAATAATTTTCACAGAAAATTTGTCTTGGAAAACAATTATTTTCTGCTTATACTTATGCAAGAACTAGGGGGAAACAAATGAACCTGGCAGGGGTTATGTTGAAAATGAACAAAAAGAGAGATTTCCTCCATGGTAGACAAGCTGTGGAACTCTGCACCTGAAGTTATTGTGGATATTGAAAGATTATCTGGGTTCAGAAAAGTGATTAAGCATGTGGAGAAAATTACCCATAGTATTCCACATGAAGTTGTGAACTGTCTCAGGAAGCCTGTCTTTTGCAAGTTTACGGAGGATAAGAAAGTCAATAAGGGAACTGTAACTGTATTCCAGTCCTGTTCTCTAGGTACCTGCTGTTGGCCAGTTGAATGTGATACTGCAAAAGGTGGACTTTTTTTTCCCTGCCCCTTTACAGCTGTTTTTAGGATATTAGAGGTAAAGAAAGAGCACCATTAGGTCTGCCATTATAACTCGTAGCAGGTCACATGCTGAATAAGAGACCATCTAAACCGGCCATACAGTGGTAAAAGCCCCATTTGACCTCAGTAGTAGCACAGTGTTTGAGTGTGCAGCGGTGCTTTGACTGGAAGATGATGGACCTTAGCAGGAAACACTCAGAATCAA